AGCAGGAATAATATTTTTCCTCTATTGAAGCAGTTAATGTTCTTTAATTAAGAAACAGACATGTTTTTCTTATCCTCAGTCACTTAGTGTGTCTCCCCAGTAAGAAACCTAAATTGGTCAGTGAGATTTAGTTTCGGTAATATTTTAAAAGATACAGATTTTTCCCTCATTTTGTTTTTCTCCCTCCCTTCCCCTTTCTTTCAGAGTAAAACAGACACAAATGAATAGGGGAATCGAGAAAAAAATGTATTCTTTCCCAATGGGATGGATGAGGTAACATCCATCCATCCATCCATTCATTTGCTTTATAAGATGAGAAACTGAATTCTTTCCAGATAGATGTCATGGGAAATAATCAACTATGCTAAGCCCATAAAAATGGTAGATATTCTTTTATGTATTTATTTATTTTTTTGTGGTACGCGGGCCTCTCACCATTGTGGCCTCCCGTTGCGGAGCACAGGCTCCGGACGCGCAGGCCCAGCCGCTCCGCGGCACGTGGGATCCTCCCGGACCGGGGCACGAACCCGTGTCCCCTGCATCGGCAGGCGGACTCTCAACCACTGCGCCACCAGGGAAGCCCCCAGTAGATATTCTTAAGAGTACAGTTTTTCCAAAATTTGAAGGGAAATTTTTTTTTTCTTTGTTCCACCCCACTTCAGATTTACACAAAGAATGTAATTTCCTTTCAAGACATATGTTTTGGTGAGTCTCAATAATAGTAAAGTAAAAGAGGAGGACAAAGAATTGTTTGAAATAAAGTGATCTATTCACCTCTCAAGGCGTTATCAATGGGGCTATAAAACTTTCAGTAAACACTGTGTTATGGACAAGAGGAGTCATGCCTCTTACCTGGTGTTTGGAAATTAAGGCGCCTCAGTTCTACTGGGTCTGTTGGATGGTGTGAAGGGACCTCCTTACTGTTTGGTATGCTGCTCTTTCTAGAATCAGATTCTGCCCTCTTCCTATAGGGAGAGAATAAAAATTTAAGAGTAAGACAACCAAAAAAATGGAAATAGATTAAAAAAAAGCAGAGTTATGCCCCTCCTAACCCCCACCCCCCATTTTCAGGTTTAAAACTTTTTGACTTTGTGACTTTGTCAAGGTAATTTTTTTTTTTTTTTTTTTTTTGCAGTACGCGGGCCTCTCACTGTTATGGCTTCTCCCATCACGGAGCCCAGGCTCTGGACGTGCAGGCTCAGCGGCCATGGCTCACGGGCCCAGCCGCTCCGCGGCATGTGGGATTTTCCCGGACCGGGGTACGAACCCGTGTCCCCTGCATCGGTTCAGGTTACTTTTTTCTCTCCTAGCCTACAGTATTTCCTCAGGTCCGAAATTTTTAAGTGGATCATCTCAAAGTCGTCCTTTATCTCTGGATTTAAATAATTCAGTGATTCTGCCTTTAGGCTTAAGGAGGTGTTGGTGAGATAGGTTTGGAAACTTGTTTAGCTTTTCTCCCTCATCCACTAGTTCTATTTGTGAGGGATAGGATAGAGTAACCCTAGTAACCAATACTAAAATTGTGGTTACCATGGGAAAAAACTCATAGAAACTACTGGGCCTCAAGCTAAACAGCTAAATCTGCCCCCCTCCTTTTCCCTTTAGGATACATGACTGGTGGCTACCAAGTGGACATGCCCTGGATTTTCCCATAACCAGATAAATACAGTAAGTGCATTTCTAAGATTTCAAGTTAACCTAATACCTGGTAGGAGAATCAGGACTACACAAAACCAACATCCCTTTTCTCTTGTCAAATCCCAATGGAAAAACAGTATCGGCTGTTTATGGTGTCAAGCTAACTCTCTTTGCTTAAGGTGTCATAATGCAATTTTAATAAATGTCTATGCAAGAAATGTGAGGTTTTCTCGTAAGTTTTCTTTATCCTTTTTTTTTTTTTGGCCCCCCAAACAAATAATCACAGAGTAGTAGCTAGCTATTTTCTTTAAGGTTGAATTAGATTAAAAACTCACGTAACTAATGGAGAACTTTTCAAACAGCGCTTTATTCCAAATACAGATTCCGGCAATCTCCAGGCCGGAGGCATAATCCTAGCATCTCACCCCTGCTCAGAGCAAAGGCATTCTTATTTGGAGAAAGGGTGCAGCAGTATTTAGGAACTCTCCCTTTCTCTTTTTGATATGACGGTGGTACAGCTCCTTAGTGTTGCTGTGGCAGTGGGCTCTCATTCAGTGAGTGCCACCCAGGTCGTTCCACGGTTAGCCAGAGGGCTCCTGTTAAATAGCCTTTCTTTCCATCTCTGCTCATCGGTATAGAATAAAACCAACCAGGGGATGAAGGGAAGATTGATGTGAAGGGAAAGCACACTTGATTTGCTCAAGTGCAATGCCTTCAGCAAAACATCCTCGGTGGAATGAATTTTTTGGGGTGAGTCCTGTTAGACACCTTGCTCTCTCAGAACCTTGGATTAACCTGTCTCAGGCTTCTCTGTTTCCACCTAAAAGTGTCAGGTATAGCCTTAGGACAGAGCATACTGCCAAGCCCTACTACCAATCGGAGGAAAGCAGTGAGTTGGAGGCATGCCAAAGGTACTGGCAGCTCCAGTTTTATGGAGTGGAAAATGAGAAGGAAAGGAAGAGAAGAGATGGAGAACTGGTCTGAGAGATATGAGAAGGAAGAGAAAAAGGGTCTAGGAAGACAATGGGAAAGAAGGATATGATGACCACTTTCACAATAGAAAATGTCACCGTGTTTATGCTGTGGGTATGTGCCTCACAATACAGAGAGACATTTTACTCTCGAAGATGCAGAATCTAAATGGGTTAATGAAACACCACCGAGTGTGGCCAATCAATCGCACGTGTAACAAACATATGGTTGGTCTTCTCCAAGTAATCCCAGTGGCCCTTTTCAGGTTTTGGTCTTTTCACACAATTTGGCACAAGGCTTTATTGATGTGCCAGATCCAATGACTGAAAACTGGATTTTTATCCCTTTTCAAAATGGCTCTGCAGTCTTTCTTGCAGGATTACGGAAACCACAAGAAGAAATATCTGGGCAAGGAGACCCTCACTCTTGCAGATATTGTGGGACACCCTCCTTATCTTCCTTTGCGCTGAGGCCCGGCTGAGTGATGTGAGACACGGGGAAAGAAAAGAATACTCTCTAAAGACATTTACTCGGTTTCTCTGGCGCCAGGAAAGTTGAAAATGCCATCTTGTTGCCCGATGAGTCTCGGAAAGCCAAGAGCATGGGGACTGAAGTTACAATTCATAATTGTAATAAATGGGAGGGGTGTCCTGACATTTAATAACTAACATCTCCCTCACCTAATCTGTCCAAGTAAGATAACCTCCAAGAAATCAGACTCCAGAAGTCCTAGCCAGCTAGGAAAATCAGCTGTTTAAATTTTATTTTGCTTCATTTAGTTTTGATGATCACAACATGGGTAATTCCGGCTGCCCACACTCTTTAATAGCATTATTTTTAAACAGAAATGTGTTAAAATGTTTGTTTTCTAACAAAGAATTTCTAAGGAAGATTTGCAAGATGAAGAGTTTGGTCATCATCAGTAACAGTGGTCATTTTTAAAAACTGAATTTACTGTTGCAAGGTATTAAATGGCGTATAATGATCTAAATCAGTCCCAACGGGAACGTAAGGAATAACTTTTTTTTTTTTTTTTCTGGTAAGTTTTCAGAGGTCTCATTATTCTCATTTTCGTCTACTGATAGAAAAAAGCAACAAATAGTGACCTGAACCAGATTCTGAATTTTGCCTCGCTGTTTTCTTTTTTCTATTAGGATTATAAAGCCCTAGGTTAAGTTTATTTCTCACAGTGAGAAGTATCTACCACGTGCAGGGGTTATTTGGGTGAAAAGGAAATAGAAGATCCCATGACATTTCAGATATGGCAGAAACTGCTAATACCATAAAAATATGTGGTTTTTTGGGGGTTGTGAATACTGTACAACAAAAATGCTGCTCTGTGGTCTAAGCGGGGTTTTATTTTCACTTATTCTCACCTGGTTCTTATCTACAGGTAAAGTGGGGAGCAAAAACAAAAGGATGATCTTGTGGCAGATGCTATATATCTATTTACTTGGAACAAAGATATTCAGATATACGAGTACAGGCTTTTGGAAGAAATATATTTATTTGAATATTCATAGAGATTTCGAAGAAATCAATTCGGACACTTAACGATTCTGACATCATTAAGAATGGAAGCCCAACTCTACGACTATTGGTGTGAATCTCCTTGGGTAAGTCAACTACAAACCTTCTTAATTTCTTCACTTATAAAATAGAGGAGTGTTAAAAGACGATATCTAAATTGTGGCCCATTTCTCTCATTTTAATAGAACAAGAAGGTAGTGATGAAATTGTGAAATGAGGACAGTGTTATAATGAGAAGGTGGATCTTTGAGTGTATTAACTAGATTCAAAGTGTTTTGACTTTGGGCCAGAAAAACTATTTTGCATGTCTTTTCTGCTGGATTAATGGCAAGCACACCTTCTCAGAGGTAGTCTGAATTTCCTGCCAGTGAAAGTGTAATGCAGCTTGCTGACCAGCGTTAAGTGATTTTAGGGACAATAATACAGGAGTAATTCTCAAACTTCAGTGTGCATCAGAGTCGCCTACGAGGGCTTGTTAAACGGCAGGCTGCTGGACCAACTCCCAGAGTTTCTGATTCAGTAGTTCTGGGATTTGGGGGAGCCAAGAATTTGTGTCTCTACCAAGTTCCTAGGTGACGCTGATGCCAGTGCTGCTTGTCCAGGGGCCACTCCCAGAGAACCCCTGTAATATAACATTGGGAGGGAGGTGGGTTAGAGGAGCATTGAGATCCTTTTCTTAGTTTAATCAGGAATTCGTATATAGACATCTAGGTATGTGTTAGAAAGCTGCAAGGTTAGCTTCGACTGATCAACAAATAGGCAGTATAGGGATTATTATTGTTATTATTGCTATTATTAGTCAAGGCTGGAAGACAGGGAAAATAATTTGGAATTAAATATAAGTTTTCACTAAGGCACTGACATCAACATTAGCAGGGTGTGAGAATGCTAGTATTCCTGTACACAGTGTCTTGAGATCAAACTTTCAGTAAAAACAAAACAAAAGAAAAATGGCTTACATTAACACATACAGATGCTCATTTAACCCTGACTACAAACAAAACTCAGACTGGTTTTAGTATCTTCTAAATTTGGCTTTAAATACTCTATTGTCTTCATATATAGACAAACTATTTCCCCCCGAATCATTTTAATATCAAAATTATTTTACATATCTAGGCTTCGTCCATCTTCCCCTTGCCAGTTTCATCTTTTATAGCCAACCTCCACCCTCGCCCCCTCAATACCTCCAAAGTCTACCCGTATCTTTTTTTTTTTTTTTTTTTTTTTTAATAAAAACGATGCCTGCTCATTCTAAGGAATTCAAACATGGCAGAAAATTCAAAGATGCAAATTGGAAAAGAAGATCACCCCAGACTGCCCCCAGAAAGAGCTACTATTAATCCTGGGTGACCACCCAAGACATTCAGCTAGGTACTATATACTGGCAAAAAGTTTTAAAAGATGCTTTTAGTAAAAAGTATCTCTAAAAACTGTTCTCAATAGGTAATACACTGTCAAAATGTATAAGGTACAAATGGGCATACACTGAAAGCCACGGAAGTGATAGTGCTGTCAGTTTCTCGTCCATCCTTCCAGAGATACTATACAAAGAGTCATGCATATGTTAAATATTAAATTTATTTTAATTTTATAGAAGAAAACAACTGAAAAGAAACCAATGGAATTGCTGTACTTCAAATAAATGTCTCTTGTTTCTTTACCACACAAGAGGTATTTCTCAAAATATCCCTGTGCAGAAGGGGAGCAGGTGAATTTTTTTTTTTTTTTTTTTGTACTGAGCATGAAAGGGGTTTGTTCTCTATTCCTCACCTGTCAGGTTTACTGCTCCATTTTAATGCAGCAAAGAAAGAAAAAGAAAGGCTAAATGTTAGTTGGCCAATGGTAACAAGAGTAACCATGACAACCAAGATTTAACAGTGCTCAGAATCAGGGATATATAACACATTAGAAAATGATAGCATATCAAAATATTTAAAGGCCTCTAGACATGAAGCAAATGGAAGACGTGAGCGTACACGGCTAAGCAAAACATTTGTGTGTGTTAGTGTCAGACTCGCTTTTATTCATCAATCTACAAAACACTGCCACAATTAATTATATCGCAGGAAGTGTTAGATGGTAGAGATATAATTTGACTTTTACAAAACACGCCATGAGACAACTGCTAATGTACTTAATGGGAATATAACCTCATTCCATATAAGAAATTTAGTTCATTCAAGAATCTTCAGTTAAGAGATAAGAGTATTCCTTTAATGATTTAAAACACCTGCAAATTGCATTGACCTGCACAGAAATCTGCACAATTGCATAATACACCACAAGATTACAAAAGTGGCAGAAATGATTTCTTCAAACACCTTTTGACAAGTAAGGTGATCGTAAGTCTTTTTCTTCTAGTAAAAGATTAAATACATTTTCAGTCTTGGAAAATATAATATTCATCATTATAGATCTACATAGCATGACCCATTTATATAGCTGTGCTAATCCAGAAAAGTATTTTATTACCAGCCACTGACATGACAGATATTTTCCTAGTCACAGAGGCGCTGCTGTCTGTGAACACTTGCAGCTCATTCTCATAGACACTTTCACCTGTGATAATATGTGTATTGCTTCACCATGTTCTTTGGGCAGAGAGTATAACCTTCACCTGAAGAGAATTCATCTAAACGGTCTTCATGTTGAGGCAAATTGCAAAGTGTTTAGGGAGGTCTCAAGTGCAAAAAATAAAGGTGCCAGGTCCACTTCAATGCGAATGAAATAATACACACCATATTGCTGGAGTATCTGGCTTTAAGGCAATCCAGTCCATTTCTTTTCAAAAATACCAAGTCCACATTTAAAGTGTACAAACACACACATACAAGGTGAATAATGAAAATTATATCAAACATACAGGTTCTTCTTTTTAAAGTAATTTAGCTGGTTGCACCAGGCTTTTAAAAATTCCTACAGATATTCTCAGCTTGCTTAGTTTTAATCAGTGAGGTCATCAGTGAATGAGTTGTAGGAAAATCTGTTCCTCTGAGAGGAAGAGAAATACCTAGTGAATTGCCAGTTCTGTATATGAAAAGGCTGTTGAATATTAGGAAGAACCAGTGCATAGCGTGCGCTTCACTCCCTCTGTCACAGCAACGTCCGCCTTACTGCACACATGGGTAACATAGCTGGTACCAATATCTAAGTTTGAAATCTTTTGGAAGTGGTGTATTTAAATTACAGGCTGAGGGTTTTGTTACAGCTCTTGCCAGTCAAGATGAACGTGATAATCAGTGATGGAGTAAACAAGAGGAGGGAACTGAGTGTACCACTGTTTGACTTGTGTAAATTTGATTATTCAGTAGCCCCCTGTGCCATGCACTCTACCGGGCACAAGGAATACAATGAGGAATAAGACAGAGCCCTTGACCTACAGTTTAGTAGGGGTAGAAAGCCAAGAAAATGGGCAATGGCCGTGATGGGGTAGGTTCTATAATACAGAGAAATAGGAAGTGCTCTAAGAGCATACAGCAGGGGACCCTAAGGCAGCCTGAGCTGGTACAGCACAGAGGACAGGAGGAGGACAGTCACTCAGAAAGGCTTTCATTTAGTACGTGGATCTTAGCTTATTTCTAAAAGGTGAGTTAGGTTTTGCCAGGTCAGGAGGAGTGGTCGTGGAGTGAGAGGAAAGGCTTTCCAGGCTTAGGGAAGGCGTTGCCCAGAGCCGGGGGCAGTGCATGGCAGCCTGTTTCTTCGTAGCATCTCAGAATAGTCTGGACTGCATTTCTTTCTTTGATAACACCTTGGAAATATACGTAGGGTTGATACAAAAAGAAGATTTAAAGAGGTAGAGCCCACAGGGAGCCAATGTTGGGTCTGGGAAAAGGTGAAAAAGCTGAAGCCTATATTTTAGCCACATCTACCTCATGGTCTTCACACATAAACAAAACATCTTGGGGTGGGGATGGAAATTATTTACTCTCTACAGTGTCCACTCACATTAGACTATTACTAGTCAAGAAGGTGAATTTGGTCTAGACCATGCCTTAAGCGCTTTCCAACCTCCTAATCCTTTTTTTTTTTTTTTTTTTTTTTCCTTCCATACTACACGGTAAATACTTCTCATCCATCTTGAAATGCTTTTCATAGAGTCAGTCAGGTTAACGTTTTATTTTAAGAATATTTTCTCCAGGAATAATTCCTGGACAGTTTTAGAACTAACGACTGAAAAGCCTTACATGTGCAGCAGATGTGCAGGGTAGATGAACATCAAAGAGCATTCAGTTGCTTTATGGATTCTTTTTTCTTTGTAGGGGAGGATAGATGAAGGGCCCCATGGAGTCATTTAGAAAACTTACACATGCACTGGAGGCAGAAATAATATAGTATTAATTCTGTTACTTGGTTTTTTTTAGGTTCTCAGATTAAAAAAGGTCAATTATCTAATCTACATACTTACTTATTTTCTAAAAGTGAAGAAACCGAGGCCAGGAGTGGTAGCATGACTTTCTTCTACCCCATATAGCCAGCTAGTCACAGAGCTGGGACTTGAACTCAGGTTTCCTGCTTCCTAGTTTAGTATTTTTCTAAACTTTGCTACCTCTTCTCTCTGCAGTTTAAATTGTTAAATCATTGTATGTATCACATATAGAGTACCGGATTTCCAAAAATTCCTAGTGCAAGGAAATTAACACTAAAGACCTACCAAACACGTTTCACTATTCTGATGGCCCTTTAGGCCCTTACAAAGGCTCCGTGACATGTTTTGTCATTGATTATCAATATATTATAGTTTTCAAATGATTAAATTTAAAACAAAGTCAAATGAAGAGAATGTGAAATGAAAGTGTGCTCTTCCATATTAACATAATTAATAGGGATAAGTCTCAAAGATGTATTTGTTCATATGGACGAACCATCCACAGCTACAGACCTATTCCTAACACAAGTAGTCTTGTAAACAGGTGTGTATTACCAACAGGATATATGTGAGTCACCAATATTTTATACTCATTCCCTACTCAAAGTATTATTTGCACACAGGAAGTGAAATACTTTAAAAATAATAATGCTGATGATAATACATTCTGAGTCATTACCAGTGACCTACGTATAAACTGAAAGGCACCTAAAAAGAGGGATATAGTGTGTTTGTTTGTTATATAATTTTCTTTGCTCAGAATCCAAGCGATTAAAGACACTATTCATTGCCTACAGAAGATTTCCTCTTGAACTGTTTCATGATAATCAGGAAGGACATTGTTGCGTCTACTTGAATTTCAAGTCAGGAATGTTCTTTACTGCTGAAGCAAGCATTTCTATTTCAGAAATGCTTCATGGGCTTTCAGATGGTTAGCTAAATATACTTAGCATTCGAGGATGTGTGCATTTCCCAACAATTGCATTAGACGATGCTTACATATGCACACACTGAAATGCAACTTCAACAGTCATAAAAATCTTTAAATACGATGCCTCTTTTTGCAGGATTAGGAAAAATTATAACTGAGTTTATTTTTTTCAAGCACGTGTGGATAAAGAAAACTTTAAAAGGATTTCTAGCGGGTTGGCCAAAAAGTTCGCTCGGGGTTTTCCAGATGAAAGCCCCGAGCGAACTTTTTGGCCAACGCACGCACGACTTAATGATAGCCGGATAGATTCACCACTTAAAACAAGGTAAGCATCTTGTTCATTTTGAGTAATCACACAATGTCACGTGATAGCATCTAGAAATGCAACTGTCAGCAACCAGTTGTTCTCTGGTCTGACTCCCACAGCAGGATGTTACCGCTAATAAATGTTTCACAGAAAACAATTTGAATTCTACTTTTACTTCTTTTTTCTTCTTGTATTCTCTTCTGGTAATAAGTGTGGTACCTGAACAGCAAAGCTGTTGCGTACCTGAACAGCAAAGCTGTTGCTTGGACTCGGACTCACATAGGATCTCCTACTGTTCTGGAGTATGTGGGGACCTCGCACTTCCTGCCCTCTAGCTCTTACATAAGAGAGAAGGGATCAAATACAACAGCACACTGATAAGATACAGACTGGGATGGGAAGATTGAAACCATCAACTAAGATGTTTGGGCCTGTCAAGCACTTGCTTTTTCAGCTATTATTTTATGGAGTGGACAGTTTGAGTGATGGCGGTGATCGGGAAGAATAATGATGGATTTTTTTTTGTTTCTTTCTCTAATTCTAGAAGAGGATAGGCGATTCAATGGGCTATGGTACGAACTTCTTTAACTAACTTGTCCTTTTTTTCTCAACTCTGGAATAGAATGGAATACAGCCTCATAAGAGAGAGTTTCTCAAGGGAGAAGTGTCTGTCTTGAAAAGTATTTTTTTCAGTCAAAAGAAGAGCTTATGAAGAAAGAGCTATTCCAAGAACGTAAGAACAAAGGAATGCAGGTAGGAATAATTAATGTAAACCCAATGAAGGGAGATATACGGGTAGGAAAAAGAGATAATGAAAATAAGATAGCTTGTCAGATTAAACATGTGAGCAAGCATCAAAATGAAGACATTCTCATCTAATTTTGAAGGTCAACTCTTGCAGTAGAAGGAAGAGAGTAACTTCACAGTGGCATTCCGACAGATGACACACTACAAAGGAAACAGATTCAAGGTTCATGAAAATAAAATTTGGAATGGAGGAAAAGAAAAATTGATATAAAGAGAGAGAGAGAGGATTCAGAATTTAGTCATTCTACATGTTTAAGAGAGTAGATGTTAATGGTTAAAATTTTGTACATTTTGATATTATATTTTTTAGGTCAGAAAGGATTAAGGGGAAGAATTACTCACGTCCTCTATCCAACTGCTTAAGCAGTGACCTAGGGGAAGAAATCTTGCTTATGTGTAATGGAGGCAGAAATGGGATTGACAAGAGTGGATCAGAAAGCATGGGTAAATGTGGGTTATTTGCATCCCACCTGTGGTCAGACACTAAATCGTATTGTTACGTGGGGGTATCAAGACTAAGGTTATATTTTTTCTAAAGGAAAATGGTACCTTGCATTTACGGGAAAGGGAGAAAGTTCATCCTCTTCCTATCTTTTCTTCCTTTGCTCTTCAATTTTTAGCCACTTTTGCTAACTTTTGAAAATAGCCACGGGGGTGGGGGAAGGGTGGGGAATCTCAGCCAACAAGCAACTTAGACTTATGAAAATGGACGCAAATGTGCCAACTTGAGCTAAAACAATCCAGTGTGAGCTTCCTCGGGATTATCTGCTTCTGAATGTAGTAACATCTCAGCTGTCATGCAAAGCGCTCATTCTGCATAAGTAAGTAAGTAAGAGTCTACACCACACGGTGAGTGAGATTTTAAATAGCTGAGTCTTTACATTTTGTTCTAACGCTAATGGACACCTTTTTGTCCAGTGATTATTGGAAGTATTTCTACTAAGCTCAACCACACAATGACCCTAGAAGGATAATAAAGTCTTTGCAATAGAAATATGGGGCAAACCTACCTTTTATAAAGAAGAATAGCTATGACAATGCAGATGATAAAGACCACTGCAAGGACAGGACCCACAACCCAGATCAAGCCTTCTTCTTCGTCTGTGATTGGCTGTGGATCCAAATCCATTGACACAACAGGATCAGAGTAAGGGCTGGTTGCATACATCTTCTGAGGAGAAACAGAATCCATGTTAGTTAGTTATAAAATAATGCCTTTCTAGAAAGTATCTTGAGCATTAGAACATCGTGGATTTGATAATAAGTAAGTGTGTAAAATAAAAAAGGAGGGGAGAGAAAGGAAGAAAAAAGAGGTTTTGTAATTGAAATTTCCTTTAAAGTATTTTACAATAAAATCATTTTTGATGGTATAAATTACTCCATAGATACTTTTTCACTGGGATCTATATGTGGCATATTAAATGATTAAGCAGTCACAAAATGTTCAGTGAGCATTTACATGGTGCCAATGTGTTACATGCGATGCGAAAAATACAAAATATTATAGTTCCAGCCATTAAGATATCATCACTTACTCAGCTGAGACCAAATTACAAGAAAGTAAACATTTATACAGCAAAATATCAGTATTGCATTAAATTATGTAAGTAGTCCTACGTACTGCACCTTAGTAAGACAATGAAGGCCACAATCTACAACTGCAAAAGTCCAGTGTTCAAATTATATATAGCTGCAACACGCATGAAAGTGATAATAATATGGCTTTTTAGAAGATAACATTTTGAGAACTTACTTAAAAGGATTTAGCAAATCTATCTATTTAATTTTATTACAGTACTGCTCAGAGGTTGGTATAACAGAAAAGGAAAACCTTAAATACACTGTTTGTTTGTGGGAATGTAAATTGGTACAGCCATTATAGAACACAGTATGTTGGTTCCTCCAAACATTAGAAATAAAAGTACCATATGACAAATCCCACTCCTGGGTATATAGCCAAAGGAAAGGAAATCACCGTCTCAAAGAGATACCTGCATACCTGTGTCCTCTGCAGTATATTTACAATATCTAACAAACAAACACATGGAAGCAACATAAGTTTCTTTTTATGGATGAATGGATAAATGTGGTCATCTATATACACAGATACATACACACACAGTGGAACATGATTCAGCCATTAAAAAGGAGGAAAAAGAGGAGAAAATCCTGCCATCCGCGATGACACGGATGAATCTGGAGGGCTTTATGCTAAGTGACATAAGCCAGACAGAGAGAGACATATATTGTATGGTTACAAGAAGAATGAGTTCTGAAAATCTGAAGTGCAGCAAGGTGACTATAGTGAGTGACACACAACGGTATACCTGAAAGTTTCTGAGAGTAGATCTTAAACATTCTCACCATACACATGAAACAGTTAATTTTCTTGATCTTGGTAATCATCACATTGTGCATTTTAAATATGTGCCACTATATTTGGCAATTATTCCTCAATAAAGTTGCAAAGATATATATATATATATATATATATATATATGGAAAGTCACTTGATGAAGGGACTGCATATGCATGAATTGTTTCTGTAATATCTTGTTTTGTTCTGTCCTATTTTAGACTCTCTCAGAAAAATATTCTCGTGACTCTGCCTCTCTTTAAAATACTATTTGTCCCACTAGAGACCAGTCCACATTCACGAGCTGCCCCACATGTCTTTTAAGAATAAACAAACAAACAGCTCACAGCTCAATAACAAAAAAAAAACAAACAACCCAATTAAAAACTGGGCAGAAGACCTAAATAGACATTTTTCCAAAGAAGACATACAGATGGCTAAAAGGCACACGAAAAGATGCTCAACATCACTGATTATTAGAGATGCAAATGAAAACTACACAATGAGGTGTCACCACACACGGGTCCGAATGGCCATCTTCAAAAAGTCTACAAATGCTGGGGAGGGTGTGGAGAAAAGGGAACACTCTTGCACTGTTGGTGGGAATGTAAATTGATACAGCCACTATGGAGAACAGTATGGAGGTTCCTTCAAAAACTAAAAACAGAACTACCATATGACCCAGCAATCCCACTACTGGGCATATACCCTGAGAAAACCGTAATTCAAAAGGACACGTGCACATGTGGATGATCCTCAGGCCCATCCACCCCCTGTCCAGTCTCACACAACCACATTTCTCATTACCTCATTCATGTTCCCCCAAACTGTATCAAGAATTTCTTCCTTCCTCTAACAGTCTCCACTGCTGCTAGAGTTAGTTATCCTAAACTGCATCTGTAAAACCTTCAGGAGGCTCTCTAGGGATTCCTAAATAAAAGCAAGACATCTTAGCACGATTCTTAAGGGCCTCCACAATTTTGTTTGAAACTTTCTTACCACATATAACATGTTCCATCACAATAGACTTCTTGCTGCTGCTACCAAAATGCTCTATTCTCTCTCTTTACTTTAACCCTCTCACAAGTTCCACGACATTTAGCTCCCGCAATCCGACTCCAAGGCCTCACTTAAATTTTGCCTCCATTGAAGCTGCCTCTCCTTAACTGGAAATAATCGGTCATTTCACAAAATGTAGGTAAAAGTCATTTTTAACAATTTGAAGTTATTTTTCTTAATGGTAGTGGCCAGACTCTATTTTGGTTTTTCATTTGTGTACATGCCTTATCTTCTTTAATGAAACTATAAACTCCTTGAAGGTAAAGATTTATATATGGTTTGTGTTTGTATGCTTAAAGCAGCAAGTACAGAACTTTGCATTTAGTGGGTTCCCAGAAAATCTCTGTTGAATAAAATAAAATGCTCATTTTTTCCAAATGGCTGACATTATTAAAGCATGAGCGAGTATACTCATTTTTCCACTATCGGTAAATATATTTAATTATTTTCAGTCTGCATTTTTTAACAATTAGCGCATATATTCTGAATTTAAGTAGGACAAACTCAGCAGTCAATCTGGAGAACACATGCCCACCAAATGCTTGTATGCTATTCTCCTTTTCCATTTTCCTCACTATGTCCAGGAAGGAGATTGACCAGACTTTCGGATTTTCTAATGCATCTAAAGAATACAAAAACTCAATATGTTTCTAACCTTCTTAGGGGCTGATTTAAAAAAAAAAACAAAAAAGATACGTACAGTGTAAGGATTTACACAAAAGGGCTTAGCAAATACACTCTATGTGCAAGAAACATGATTCTTTTATACAATTAATTGTTTGTTTTGGTTTAAATTTTCCCCTTTCCATTTTGTAGGTCACACTCAAATTCTTTGGGAGACTTAAGTAAGCAAAACTCTTTGATTTGAAATTCTTTACCAAGAGCCTTTGAGATAATAATCTTGGTTAGCCAAGATGGAAATCTAAGCAGAGGTTTTTCCCAAAGTACATAGATTTCCAACCCAAATCAGGAAACAGAGACATGTGAAAATGAAAAGAAAACAAAACGGTAAAATGATATCAGCCTTATGAAAAGTAGAATTTGTTCAGTATGTGGGAGTAATGGAAAAGATTAAACATTTGGTCATTCTAAACCAGTCCTTTGATGTTCTTAATGAGGCAGTTAATTGGGGAAAAGCTCATGTCTTTGGGGGGGAAGGGGGATATTTTCTGTATGCAAATTATCATCCCAACCTCGGAGTGGTTAGCCACTTTAACAATCACTCATGAAAATTTGAGGTTTACAGAAGACTGTATCACTATGAGCATTATACTAGCTGGGTACAAGTCTATAAATGCTGGCATGAACACACATAGGAAACATAAAGGAAATACTGTTAGCTTTGAGAGCGATGTTGAAAAAGATGATGGAGAAAAGGGGCAATTTAGACAATACATATTTGGGAAGAAATCCTAATTATATAATTAATGGAACAGTGAGATGACATACTAAGGGAGGAGGTAAACTATTCATCAATGGTGATACAGTTCAACACTAGTTGAACACTAGTTCAACACTAGTTGAAATGTCTGTTAGAAACCAGAGTCTCTGACAGTGCATGATCTGATGAGATTCCTTTTTCGCTGGATTCTCTGATCTATCTCAGCGCTCTGAACGTGCTTTCAGAAACGTCCTAGAGCTATTTAAAGAAAATTTCTTTCAAATATCTACAAGTCATTAAAAAAAAAAAAAAGGATAAGATGGTTCCAACATTCCATTCCCTTGATGTTCTGCCTTAAAACCTTCAACTAGGAAGAGAAAGCATATCCGTGCATTACAATTCCAGGAAGCCCATCACTTTGTTTTCAAATGACATCCTGTGCACACACACACAAAAAACCAGGCAGAAAGGCTGCCTTTGTGTTTTGATTTTCCACGAGGGAATTCCTTCAGTCATTTGAAGAGAAGCCCCACTGTACATGCTAACACCTGATGTGGAGAAATCTTTGCTATATCTCAGACTTCCTATACCGGGGAAGGGACTGGCTCTAGCTAGTTGCCACACCTGTCAGTTTTAAGCCCCATGAGAAAGGTATAGTTTTGAATATGTATATTAAATGTTAATGTGAACTGCCACTTCAAAATCTACCTCCCTCCCATCTACAATTTCTCGCCCTCTCTCTCTCTCTCTCTCTCTCTCTCTCTCTCTCTCTCTCTGTTTTTAACATTCAAAGCAACTGATGCGCAAAATGACATAAGAGCAAGATGAATTACATAAAAGAAGACAACTCATTATTTAGAGGACCTTAGGCATTCTCTGTTTCATTGAATTGTTTTCTAACTTTCTTGGCTTTTCACTGATAAAGTCCCTGGTAAACTGCTATAATTTAAAACACAGGCTATGCTTGCCTTTTCCTAGATAGAGCTTCCCTTGAATCTGGGCAGAAAGCGCTATGGGTTCACTGGTAGTTATAGGAGAATAAAATACATACAATCACCACCCCCCATCAATATTTTCAAATACTTGGAAATTACTATGTTTAATCTCAGAGCTTGTTGGTTACTATTGTAATCACACAGGCTAAGATCTACTAGGTATTATGCAACATACCTAATATTAAATATATATTTGAGAACAGGCATTTTAAGAGGATGAGGAAGGAGATGAGCAATGATGGCTGTCACCCTCCTACCCAGACGTGGGTCACATCAAAAGGTCTTAAGAACCATGCCCCTTATAAAAGGCATCCAAATTGGAAAGGAAGAAGTAAAACTGTCATTATATGCAGATGACATGTACTATATATAGAAAACCCTCAAGTCTCCACCAAAAATATTATTAGAACTAGCAAATACATTCAGTAAAGTTGCAGGTTACAAGATTAACATACAGAAATCTTGCTTTTCTATACACTAATAATGAACTATCAGAAAGAGAAAGCAAGAAAACAATCCTGTTCAAAATTGCATCAAAAAGAATAAAATATCTAGGAATAAACTTAACCAAGGAGGTGAAAGACCTATACTCTGAAAACTATAAAACACTGATGAAGAAATTCGAAAATGATAAAAAGAAATGGGAAGATATTCCATGTTCTTGGATTGGAAGAATTAATGTCGTAAAATGTCCATACTACACAAGGCAATCTACAGATTGAATGCAATCCCTATCAAATTACCCGCGGCATTTTTCACAGATCAAAAACAACACTAAAATTTATATGGAACCACAAAAGATTCTGAAAAGCCAAAACCATATTGAGAGAAAAAGAACTAAGCTCGAGGACTCATGCTCCCTGACTTCAGACTATACTATGAAGCTACAGCAATCAAAATACTGTGGTACTGGCCCAAAAACAGACACACAGATCAGTGGAAAAGAGTGGAGGCTCTAGAAATAAACCCATGCACCTATGGTCAATTATTCTACTACAGAGGAGGCAAGAATATACACTGGAGAACAGACAGTCTTTTCAACAAGTGGTGCTGGGAAAGCTGGACAGCTACCTGTAAAAGAATGAGATTAGAACATTCCCTCACACCATGTACAAAATAAACTCAGAATGGATTAGAGACCTAAATGTAAGACCTGAAACCATAAAACTCCTAGAAGAGAGCATAGGCAGAACATTCTTTGACATAAATTGTAGCAATTTCTTTTTTTTTTTGGATCTCCTAAGGCAAAAGGAATAAAAGCAAAAAGCAACAAACAAAAAATGGACCTAATTAAACTTAAAAGCTTTTGCACAGCAAAGGAACCCATCAACAAAACAAAAAGATAACCTACTGAATGGGAGAACAATATCTGCAAATGATATGACCAATAAGGGCTTAATATCCAAAATATATAAACAGCTCATACAACTCAATATCAAAAAACCAGACAACCCAATTAAAACTGGGCAGAAGTCCTGAATAGACATTTTTCGAAAGAAGACATACAGACAACAGGCATGTGAAAGGATGCTCAACATCTCCAACCATCCGAGAAATACCCACCAAAACCACAATGAGATATCCCCTTAAACCTGTCAGAATGGCTATCATCAAAAAGACCACAAATAACAAATGTTGGCGAGGATGTGGAATAAAGGGAACCCTTGTACACTGTTGGTGGGAATGTAAACTGGTGCAGCCACTATGGAACACAGTATGGAGGTTCCTCACAAAACTAAAAATAGAACTACCATATGATCCAGCAGTCCTACTCCTGAGTATGTATCTGAAGGAAGTAAAAACGCTAGTTGGAAAACATACAGGTACCCCAATGTTCACAGCAGCATGATTTACAATAGTCAAGATATGGAAGCCACCCAAGTGTCCATTAACAGACGAATGAATAAAGAAAATGTACATATATGCAATGGGATATTACTCAGCCGTAAAAAAAGAATTATGCTATTTACAACAACATGGATGAACCTAGAGAGAATTATGCTTAGTGAAATAAGTCAGAAAAAGACAAATACCGTATCACATCCCTTATATGTGGAATCTAAAAAATAAAACAAACCAATGTGTATAACAAAACAGAAACAGACTCACAAACAACAAACTAGCGGTTACCAGTGGGGAGTGGGTTACGGCAAGAGAGGGGTGTGGGATTAAGAGATACAAATGCCAGAACAATAAAACAAACAACAACAACAAAAAGAACCATGCCCTATCAATTTGGCACTTCATAAACTAGATGTCCATCTAAATTTCCTGTCATTAGGGACACAGCCTTACTTGTAACGAAATCTCAAGCAGATTACTCAGCAGTGTTCAAAGAGTAGGCAGCCTGTTACCACATCTAAGTTAGCGAAATCTCTTGAGAAATAATTAGGGTGCATGTACCTACGTATCCCCAAATAACCAAATTCTGGTGAAAAATGTATAAGAATACCAGAGGAAATTAGATGGATGCCATCACAATTAACTTACAGACTCAGCGTGTTCCATCACTGCTAACACAAAGAAGACATATTCTTGACCACTTTGGAGTTGCTTGTTTGTAAATCCACCATAATGTTTGTCATCCCCCAGGGTGAACTCAGTGGGAAGGACATCAAAGTGCGCGGCAATATATGGCTTCAATTCAACTTCTCTCCCATAACGGATGCTTCTGCGTTTCCTAGATATCTCTTTAAGCAGCTTAAGGGAAAAAAGTGGGAAACAGAGAAAGAAATGTAAACAACAATAACCCAACTTAATGACAATTTAATGGGAGAAATTAACTCAGGGCTGGGAACAACCCAAATACAGTGTGTCCACAATACGCGTAGTATGTCAGCATTACTAAATCTCAGTCTCCCTGTCTTCCAAAGGTAAGGCACTGAATTGCAATTGCAAGGCTCAGGCTGTAAACACTGGACAATTAGATCCTTTACTGGTAGTTCACATCACTGTCCACTCTAATGAAATCCTCTCAAAGGACAAGAATGCATTATAACTTGTCTGTGGAAAAAAAGCAGCTTGGTTCACAAAAGCCCGTCATGCAGGCTTTATCACTTACTTATTAAACAAGTAGTACCCTCAGATAAAGCCATCAAAACTTTCAAAGACCAACTTTTTGGAGAGATTAGTACCATTTTAGACTACTTTTAGTAATGAGATAACTTGTATGATGTATATCCCCTCAAATCAGCAGAAATAGAATCTGATGACCAATTTTTAATTGACATTTTCAATAGACGTGGTCACTTATTTAACGAGTCACTTATTTGACTTGGTTCCTTGATTAACCATTTGGGATAAAATGATAAAATTCCTTGCATTTATCATGACACCGAGTTTTTCTGGAGCTAATAGCTCTCTGGAGATGTTGAATTATCTTGCCAGGCAATAAAGGCAGGGTAGAGAAAAAATAATTTTAATATTACACTGAAGAAAACAAATATAAACATGTACACACAGAAATCCTTCATGTATTTCTAAAAGAAAAAAAAAAAGTACAAATTATGGTTTGATACTCTGTTGTTTTGCATTCACTCTTTTATTAGGAGAAACTCATGTTAATGATATTTCATGACAATTTCAAAATGATGTTTAAGTTATCTCTGTCTGCTTCCATTAAATATTGGTATTTTATAGGGCTTAACAGAGAAAAAGAAGTTTATAGCAGTCTGAGATGCCTTTTGATGTAAGGGACAACTTAACTGGTGTTTTGAAAGAATTCTGATTTGTTTGACTATCTCTATAGAAAAGACTACCTGAGAGCCTGGTGCAATGAAGGCCAGGCTTCTGGAATAATAACGGCTGCAGACTGTATATACGGCAAATACCAAATCCTTACGTTAGGAACCTGATGGTACACTACAGCCTCTTCAACACAGAACGTACATGTGCTCAGCTGGTCAAAATTATAACTTAAAAATGTTAAAAATCACCCTCTTGGCTATATAGATAATTTGTGCCCATGTTACTGAATACTTAAAATGTTCTCAAATTTTCTGTTAAGTTTGAGTTTCTGCATACAATTAAAATTACATGAAATGTAAGTTCTTTTATAAAAACCACAACAGACTTGTTTAGCAAATTTGGACCATCTGATGATAAATTCAGGTAGACTGATCAATTATGGACCACCTGAGTTGTAATAAAGCAAGTCCAGAAACTTAGCACTATCTTTCAATCCTGTTGTCACATTTAGGTTTTATAATAATGATGATAATGACAATAATGCTTTTCTTTGTTAACCAATTCCTAGGTGCCAGGCACCATTCTCAGGAGACTAAACAGGGCTTAGTTCATTTACTCATAAAAACTCTATGAAATAGGTAATCATTATCCCCATTTTAGAAATGAGGAAACTGAGGCAGAATAGAAAGTGACAATAGTGGATTCAATTGGTGAAATAAAATGAAATTACATGTTAGAGATTTTTTCCAACCATATTTTTATTTACTTAATGGCTGCACAATACCAAAGAAACATAACTGCAACATTTAGGCTAAATTAATAACGTTAACTCTTTTAACTCAGTCTACACTTAAATATGTAATTTTTGTGCATCTGCTTTCATTAACACAGATAAATGCGTACTTAGATGTCTTTTTCCTAGATTCTTTTAACATGTATTTTTAAAAAATTCTGATGTAAATATTTAAGATATACTTGAAAGGTCACTACATAGGTTATTGTTGATATGCAGTCATTTACGGGCCATTACTTAGAGAAGGACAAATGAAGTGCAGAAGAGCCGAAAAGCTTTCTGAAGTTGGTTAATCAGAAACATTTACCATCAGTTGTTTATGCAACTGTGTCCCCTCTTCTACTTCACTGATCAAACCCTACCTTGATTTTAGTCATATTTCAGATGTAGGCAACTGTCGTAACTCATCCATATCACTGTCATCCCTATGAGTACCTTTTGCTATAGGGTTTCTTTAGGAGACTTCGAGGAAGCACTTTAACAGATTTTAGTGTTTTGGTGCTCCTTAGACCCAGTGCTGCCATTCATTAAGGTCAAACCTGGAACATCAACCCTGGCCCTGCAGCTTGCTCTAATCTCTGTAGGATGCTCCCTGTGTTATACTTTAAATGGGTCAAGTGTGCTCAGATGACACTGAAGTGAGCCAGTATGCTGAAGTTCCAACCACAAATGACCACGTGATTTTACGGCAAGCCTTCGAACTACAATGCGATGAAAAGCTTATGATGTGTTCCAAGACCTTCCCTGAATTAAAGATAACTAACATTTTAGGAGTCATTCTGTCCAGAATTCATTTTGACTATCAATGTCTGCTCTGCCCAGGCTGACCCTGACAACTAAGAGTTCCAGTCTATGAATTTATTATGTGAAGATTATCCCCAGACAAAGGATAAATGAGCTCAGAAGAGAATATCGAGAGTGGCTCTGTTTAGAAAGCCTCTTTCCATTTTTTATGGGCCTAGGTGTGAGGCATACATGTGGAAATCCCCTTAGGCCACCATTCTATTTGATGATTGGGGTTTCAACGATTTGAATTATAGGCCTTTCTAAAAAATCACTTGGTCAAATACATTTAAGAGAGGAACACTGCTTTGTCAAACCTGGCAGTACCAAGCTATAGATAAAATTACTACAATGCTTTTATTATCCATGGTAGAAAAAAAAAATACCTGTCTGTAGGGATCAGAAACTGGATGAGTAAGCACCAAGTGAGGCCACAGCCTACTTTCATTTGTTCCCCTCCACAATAGTTACAAGATGTACTGGAGGTTTCCAGAAGATATATCAAGGGCTTTAGTTTTTTATCAGAAATAATTTTCATTTTCCAGTCAATGCCTATCTTATTTCTTCCACCGTTAATTCTACAATGTGGTCTCAATTGTATCAGTAAGAAAAGTGGGAAAGAACCCATCCCGACCCCAAAATTTTGAATTAATAAATGTTCTTTATCAAACTATTATACAGATTAATGCACTACAATTTGTGGGATGATTAAAATGAGCCTCTGTTATGGGAATCAGCAGCAGAGACCCATAGAACGTAATTGCAAGAAAGTTCAATGTCACATAGCTCTATACTTCAATCCATTAGAACTGATGTGCATTTTGGAGGTTGAAACCTAGCTGTAGAAGAGAATCAGCGTCCTATTACTTACTACCAAATGGCTCCACTTCTAAGCAAAGCTTTTTTTTTTTTTTTTTTTTTTTTTTTTTTTTTTTTTTTTTTTTTTTTTTTTTTTTAAGGATTTGATGTCATTTTTGGCTTGGATGTTAATTCCTTGAAAACTTTTTTTATTTTTAATAGGTAGAAAGATTCATAGATTTTACAAGCTGCCTTTGCATTTTAAATCCAGTTCTAACTGAATTCTGCATTTCGGCTGAGAACTGATTAAAATAACAAAGAACATGTCAGGATTAACTCATTAGTCAGTTGCAGGTAAAACATGCCTTCCTTCAAAATGTTTAGAGACCAGCTAGCTCATCAAATCGCATATTCAGATGTACTCCTCTGACATCATAAAAAATGATTTTGTTCCTTTATTTTCAGCAGAAAAAAAAAGTAAAATTTATAACAAATTACTTGACAGCATGATTGAAATGTGTCTCATTTTATACTCCTTCAGTGCTCATCTAATCACTAAGCAGTGACACAAAAGCATAGTCCTAACCTTGAACTCATCTCCCTTTCTGAACTTGATCAAGTTTAACTCAGATAAATGAAGTGGTTGATGATGAAACATACTTCTAGGGATGACACATGTCTGTCAAAAGAAGCTAACAGCCCTGCTCTCGAGATCACAGGCTCCTTAGTGCAGACATGTATGAAATAAACATCACTTCCCTGTAACGCAGTTAGGGAATTTCTGCTTTTCCTTGCTTTGTATGCATTAATTTGAGGGACAGAAAATACCTGAAAATAACAGGTTGGGTTATAAGATACAGAACATGTTGTAAATAAATCCAATCAATTAAAATCTCATATTTCCCCTAATGGGGGCCTTTTTTATTTGACTTCTGAACTGATTCAAACTAGAATCATGTTAAAATTGTAAAGTCTCTCCTGTATAGTATTTCACAGAAGGTGAAGCCCAGCCATTAACCTGCTGTGGCCCTCTAGGGATCTGGCTTAACACTTGTGATCAGTTTTCTCATCCAAACAGAAGTATGTCAAAATTAGATCTTGTTCTATATACTGTGTATTTACTTTAAAAAAAAAAATGTTCTTTTTGCAAAAAAGAGGACCAAGGTACCTATTGTTATTGTAAGATTTTAGAAATTAATAGTATTTAGTATTTGCTCTGTTGTTTGTACCGTATTTCTTGCTCAGCTCAAAATTCTGTGATTTGTTTTATTTGCCCCTGAAGCTCATGCATTTTTGATTCTGATATCTTACAAAATATAGAATGAAGCAAATATGTGCTAACCAGCACAATTCTGTCAGACACATAGCAGGTCAAGTGTTGAACTCTGGTGCAAACTGCAACTTAGCATTTTTAACAGCCTCAGCTACCACTGCACTGACGAAGCATACCTTGGAATTCATAGCAATGGTGATAAAGTCTTTGCTGACAATTCACTTCACCTTCCACACCTCTGCATCATGTTTTACAAGGGGCACGGGGCAAAATATTAAAGCCAACAAAGATCAGATAGGTTGTAAGCTTTACAACAGCTTAATGTCTTTTAATTAAATCAAAAAGCTCTTTGTTGGGACCCCAAGAGGTTAACACACCCGTAGCAGTGAACCTTCTGAGTAGCCAGCTGACCAGCCAGCCATGTAGGAGTCAGCACCCAGATTAGATGCTGAAAGGTCTCCATAGAGAGGAGAGGGCTATTTTAAAAATTAAATAAGTAATGAACGGCACAGCCCAAAACACATAGTTACCTCATCTAATTCCATTTCATCTGGACTCTCCCATGGCTTGATAAATTTCCCACGAGATTTCTTCAAAGGCACAATTATTATGTAGTAACCTCTGCACAAGAATAGATAGACAAAAATAAGGTTAGTTCGGAGGGAAAAGAAAATGGATATATCCTTAAATCTTCCACAGACCTGAAGATTGAGACTGAAGGCAAATTATGGATATGGAGTGACTTGTCCATCAATGGCAAATAACCACCTGTTTGTTCAATTTTCAAAACAACATGGATAGACATTTATGTGTGACTTCAGTCATCTTGTATGGTAATATCACCGCGGTTGACTGACCTTTATTAGGTACCATAAACAGCGTGGAAATAGTTCGTTAGTACCCTGGTGCTGGACACATACAAGGTGGGTATATTGAAATCTACCACCACAGGCTGCTGAACCAAGAATTTTCTATGACATTAATTTATAAGATGATTTTTTTTTAAAGAAGATGTGTAATAAAAATTACTCTAAGCTCATCCAAATGCCTACACGATGACGATGACAACGGTTTTCTTCATACACCGTTAAAATACATTTTATTTGGATAAAAAATTAAAAGCATAAAAATTACTCATCATCTCACAATTATGTAAAGATGTAAAGGTTCCCCTCTCTTTCTACCCATCAAATTGCAAACCTTAAGGTAGGTACTGCAGAAATTTGGAGACAGTCACTACCTAAGGGCTTTCAAAATAGGTCTCAGTATAATACCTCTATAGGAAGGGACAAAAGTAAGCGAGTCCTCACACTGAGAACGGTCAACTACAATTTATGTATAAAGGTTCCTTGTCGCCAAATAGATGTGGGTTATTTGTAAAGTTGTTTTGTAACTTCCGTATAGTGTATACTGTGCTCTTATATTCAGAGTTAGGGACTCTGCTCATACTGATTTTTGGTAGTAACTATACAAGGACTTTGAATGTAAGGTATAATAATAGCCACCACATTCATCACTTCCTACTTTTTAGGTATTACAGTAAATGCATAATCTCATTTTGCCCTCTCAAAAATCCTTTAAGGACAGGTAAGAGAAAAAAAGACAGCTACACGAGACTGAATAATCGCTCAAGTTAAAACAGATAGTAAGGGGATACAAACCTATATATGTAGAGAGAGAGATATATCTCTTAACTATGGCAATAATCTGCTTTTGTTTCATTTACTCTGTATCATAAAGCACTTTTACGGAAATTTATTGTGGAAATGAATACACACACCCCCCTACCTCTGCCTCTCAGAGGAAAGGGATGAGAACGGGCTGGGTGCTAGCAAGCTTGTATCACATTTTATTACAGAGACTAATAGTACACACAGGAAGGCCTGTTTGTTCTTATTGCAAAGCAAAACGTGTAATAAACTCAGCAAACCCTGTGTGATAATGAACTCTGTTTCCACAAACAGAGTTTGGAGCAGCTCTGTCCAGTATAGTAGCCGCTAGCCCCTTGCGGCTATCAAGCACTTGAGATGTGGCTAGTCTGAACTGACATGTGCTCTACCTGTAAGAGACACTGGATTTCGAAAACTCAGTATGAAAACTAAATGTAAAATATCTCAGCAATAATTTTTTAATAGTGATCACATGTTAAAATGATAATATTCTGGATATAATGCGTTTTGTAAAAAATGAAATTAAAATTAATTACATCTGTTTCTTTGTACTTTTTACCACAGCTGCTAGAAAGTGTAACATTTCACATGTGGCTCTCGTTACATTTGTTGGGCAGGGCTGATCTAGAGTGTTCCGGTAGAGAATGTGGCATTTAGAGATGCATCTGGCCCAGAATTTAGGATCTGCCACTCATGAGCTGTGTGATCCTGGGCTGATCATCTAACATCCCTGAATCTCAGTTGCATATACTGAAATTAGAGTAAATAATATCAGACTTATTCTGGAGAAATAAAACAAATGAACACAAAGTGCTTAGCACAGTGTGTGTCACGTAGCACTTCACAGATGCCAGCTGCTACTGGCTGGTACCGACCATCATGGTGGGAGAGATGGATCTGAACACAGCCACAGTAGGACACAGTGAAACTCCCTGAGATGTAGATTAAAGGACTTATCAAACTTTTTTTTCCCCCTGATCAAGAATTCAAGTCAAACCAGACAACTACAGCAGAATCCGCTCTCCACGGTGCTCTGAGCAACTCATCATCAGGCTCACGGGGTCACATCACTTAGCCATCCATTTTCTTTCCTACAAACAATGATGATGATCAAGGAGGGTAATGAGAAGGAATAGTGGAGTATGTGAGAGAGGCCAGTATCTTTTATGGCCCAGAGTAAGCTTCCTCCTCTTCCTGTCTTCCCACCACCCGAAGGATTTGCCAAAAAGGCCCATCATGTTAAATGAGCATGGAGAAGAATGACAGGGGCTGCAACCTGGCGTACAAAATAGCACTGCAGATGGACTCGATAAACACACTTGTCAGGGAACCTCTTGCTTTTCACTACCAATTGCACAAAGTCACGACAGCTTCTCTTTGCCTAAAGTAATGATACTGCACATGATCAGGGAGCTCCCACTGTCCTCGTTCAGAATCTTGTAAATCAAGGTTAAGCTGATGAATCCTATTAATTTTTCTTCTGCTTTCATACTTTGAGTTGCCATTCTTGTACATGAAGAAAGAATCCGTTCTGCAGCACTCCCCTACTATTCATTTCATTTGTGGCTCGGATAAGAATTGAACAGCCTTCCCCATAGCAATTAATTAACAGTGTGGCTGGATATCCATAACCTTTTCTCTCCACGATCACTAAAGCATTCATCTAGAGCAGCCCAAGTGGAGCCTTTCAAAGCAGCTCTCGCCTATTGAAAGAAACGGGGTGTTGGGAATTTGGAACTCCTGGGTCCAAATCCATACATTTCAACTGTATTCTCTGCAGCTGTGACTTTGTAAAGAACCTCGTATTTGCCATTCCTGAAGCCTAACTTTCCCCCTGAGGATACTGCTTTCTTTCCAGACTTCTCACGTGGTGGCTGTTAATTTATCTCTCTTCCTCTGCCCATGAACCTCAGGTTTAGGGTTTGGGTTTCTTTCCCGGTTCACTGTTGCTTCTTGCAGATATTTTTTCCTCCACCCCTTTGCAAAAATCACAATAAGCCCTCCTTTTGGAAGCTCGTACAATTCAGCTATGCTATGGTCCTCTCTTACTGATTTCTGCCATCTACCAACCTCTTCAGAATCTTTCCTTTATGGAAGTTTTTGTTTTGTTTTTCCTGGGGTTAACGGTCTTTTTCTTTCCTCCCAAACTTGGCCGTCATTTTGGGTGACTTCAACCTTCAGAGGGCTGGCCCATGCACCACCCAGGGCTCTCAATTTCTTGAGCTCTTCTTTTCCAAAACCCACATCCCCCATTCGGCCTTAGCTAAAATCTGATAGCCTTTCTCTGTGCCTGAACCCAAGGAGCTGAATACAGCTTGAGAAATAACGCACAGGGTAGAATGATGCCATAAGTTCATATTCGGCAAACTCCAAACAGGCCTTCAACACTGCCTGGCAATACAGCCACAGCTTCTCTAGTTACCTAGTCCATCCAATCTTCACAGTAAGTTTTTCACACTTCCTCCCCTGGCCTCAAATCTTGGACATACATGCCTCTCCACTAGAAGATGGCCTGCGCTCTTATACACAGAGAAAAGAAAAAGATTTAGACAAGCATTCCCTCGTCGTCTAACAAACTACAAGCCGACCTATATCTGAGTGCAAACCATAATCTTTCCGATCGGTACCGTAGAAGGGCTGACTACACTTTCCAGAGCCAATTACTTTTTCTTGAATTGGGTCCTGCATCTCACTCTCTTTGGATGTCTACCATATACTATACCCCTTGTCTCCCATATATCTCGATTTCTCCATCCTCGTTGGATTCTGTCGATTAGCTTTCCATCACTGGCAGGACAAAACAAACCACATCCTGCTCCAGTCATCACTTTCTCTCTCTCTCCTACCTCTTACTGCCCCAGTTCTGAGAAGAGCTGTGTGTTCTTGCTGTTCTCCATGCCTTTACCTTCCATTCACTTCCCAGTCAACTGTGCTCTAGCTCCGGCCTCATCTGCCCAACTCACCACCTTCACCTGGGTCATCAGTATTGCAGCAAAAGGAGAATTTTTCACTCTCTTCTTACTTGATCTTTTTTTTGGGGGTATGCGGGCCTCTCCCTGCTGTGGCCTGTCCCGTTGTGGAGCACAGGCTCCGGACACGCAGGCTCAGCGGCCATGGCTCACGGGCCCAGCCGCTTCGCGGCATGTGGGATCTTCCCGGACCGGGGCACGAACCCGTGTCCCCTGCATCGGCAGGCGGACTCTCAACCACTGTGCCACCAGGGAAGCCCCTTACTTGATCTTTTATCAGAATCTGAGTATTCATAACACCCTCCATGAAACATATTCAGTTCTTTCTCTGTATCTAACTCTCCTGGTTTTCTACTTAAATCTCTCACCATGTTAACCTTATTTCTTTAGCAGGATTTATTACCTGCTACCCAGCTTTTCAACGGTGGCGTTCCTCAAGGATCTAGCCAAGGATTTGTCTTTACTTCCTCTTTTCTTCCCAAGGGATCTCATTCCAGCTCAGGGAATCAGTTATCCCCTAGATGCAAATGATTTACAGATTCACATCTTCAGCCCAGAACACTCCTCTGAGCTCCACAAGTTTACCCGCTTCCAACTTTATGTCTCCATTTCTATGTCACAAAAGTACCTCAAATTTACTGTGGTTAACATAAAACAAAAGAGACGCCTCCTCTTCTAATATTGCACCATGATCCATTTTAGGGCACATGCTGTAAACCTAGGTGTTATCACTGATGATCTGCATTAACTCTCTCCCTCCCTCATACCCAAACTACCGCTAAGTCCTATTACTTCCAAACTATCTATAGTGCATTCACTTCTCCCCATCTCTACTGCCACCGCTCTGGCTTCATTCCATTGTCTCATGCCTGGGTTGCTCCTAACTTTGTCTCCTAATTTTCTCTCTCCGTTGACTTAAGCTCCCTTTAGTCCAGTCTCTGAAATTTTCATTTCGCAGTAGAAAATTAATTGTAACATTTCC